AATAATATTAAAATAAGTCAAAAACCTTTCAAAGAAATTAAGAAAAGGACTTTTTTAAAAGCCTTACACATTTATCCAGATAATAATTTCCATTTCTCACACTCTTCAAGTCTTCCTGTAGACTCAGATTCAATTGTTCTCTTCAGCCCAAAGAAATTCCCTCAGCATTGCCTGTAGTTCAGTTCTGCTGGAATAAATTCTCTCCGCTTTAGTTCACTTTCATTTTTTTATGCATATGGATATTTTTCCTGGATCTAGAATCCTGGGTTTACAGGTTTTTTCTTTCCTTTTGTTGCTTTTAGCATGTTAAGTACATCTATTTTCTACTGGCTTGCATTGTTTCCAGGGAGAAATTAGTAGTCATTCTTATAATAGTTCCTCAGGAGTTGCTATTGTTTGTTTAGGTTTTTCCTTTTGGCTGCTTTTAGGATGTTTCCCTTCATCTTTGATTTTTAATAGTTTGACTATGATAATGTGGTTTTCTGTGTATTTCTCCCTTTGGGGTTTATTGGGCTGCTTTAATTTAGAGATTTAGGGTTTTTCATCAAACTTGGAAAACTTTAGGCCAATATTTCTTTAAATATTTTCCCCCATTTTCTTGTCTCATTTTGGGATTCCAATTATACACACATATGTTGGTGGCTTCACGTTGTCCCACAGATCATTAACATTCTCTGCAGTTCTTTTCACTTTTCTCTCTCTCTCATTTCATTTTGGTTCATTGTAATTGGTCCATCTTCCAGTTCACTGCTCTTTTTTGATGCTTTATTCCTTCTGTTGTTAAGCCATCTTATATATGTTTTATCTCAGATATCATGATTCTCAGATCTAGAATTTCTCTTTCTGTTTTATAGTTTGTATTTCTCTGAGATTCTCTGTATCTTCATCTAGTTTTTTCATCTTTACCTATAAATATTTGGTCATATTTACAATATTTATTTTATAATCCTTATCTGATATGTTCTAGTATCAGTGTCATCTGTGGGTCTGTTTCTGTTGATTTTTTTTCTTTAGTGTTTTAAATGTTTTTATTGTGTTGTAGACTTTGTGTATAGAAAAACAGTGGAGACTGAGGAGCACTGCTGTTTTACTTTCCCAGAAAATAGGTCTTTCTTTTGTTGGGTGACTAAAATAAAGGTTCACTGACCCCTACCCCTGAGGGGTCAGTCTTGGCAAGAAGGATAGATTTTTCCTACTTTTCACCCCACCTTCATTTCCCTCTCTCCCCCACCTCATCAAAATTAGAAAAGGGGTCATGGAAGGATTTTTATGCCAAACAAATTGCTGTTTCATTTGGGGTCTTTTGGACTCTGATCCATTTTCCCTTACCCTGCCATGAGCAGTACCTCTGCTGGCTTCAGGTCTCTCGGCCTTTGGCAGGCCTTGTCCACCCACTTGTGTCCAGACCCAGCACTGGCCCATGAGCTGCTAGAGCTTGCTGCTTCCTGGTAAAGTCTCTGTAAATCAGTTCTTTGTGGCTTTCTTATCTGGCACTTATCAGCAGTCCAACAGATAAGCCTGGTTTTTTATATCCTCCAGACCGTTCTTGCTGTTCACTTGGGACTGAAGGCCATCTGTCTCCTCACACTCCCTGTCCCTGCCTCTGTAAGGACCTGCCGTCCAGGCCCAGCCAACATCTTGGGAAGGCTTTTAACTTTTGTTTTTGTGTCTTTTGTATTGTTGGCTTCTGTTTTTAACTTTTTCTATTATAAAAACAATGTATGTTCGTTATAGAGAAGTTGGAAGATAGGAGTGTAATGAAAAAAACAAAAATTATTGATCACTCCAACTTTAGAGAGACAATTGCTGATGGCATCCTGATGGCTGATGGCATCTTCTGCATTCCTAGAGAGATAGAGCTATGAATTTGTTGGGCTCATCTCAGCATGAAAACCCTCTTTGTGAGAGTCTGGGGCCCATATTGCACTAAGATGGGAAAGACCTCTGATCCCTTGGTATGGTGCTCAAATTCATGACCCAAAACAAATGAACTAGCCCCACCCTGACCTCCACCCGTCTGTGTCCAAATCTCTGTGAATGCCAACATAGTCCTTCCCTCTGCTCAGACAAAATCCTTACCACCATCCCTGACTCCCCTTTTGCACTTCCCACAAATGATCCTCAGCAAATCATCTCAGATTTACTGTTCTACCTTTAAAGTATATCCAGAAGCTGACCACTTCCCAGCATCCCAACTGCTGCCTCCTGATCCCAATCTCCATCTCCCGTGGACTAGGGAGGCAGCCGCTGGCCTCCCTGCCTCCACCTGGGCCCTCTCTGCCTTCTCCACACATACACAGAGTGAGTCAGTAAAATATGGGTCACATTAGGTCCTTCCTATGCCTCAGACCTGTCAGTGCTGCCCATGCTCACTCAGAGTAGAAGGCATCTTGTTTCTATGATCTGCAAGGCCCCTCTGCCACCTCAGCTTTCTTCCCCTCTGCTCCCCTTGCCTGCCCTGCTGTAGGCACACTGGGGTCCCTGCTGCCTCTGCCCTCCAGGCATGTTCCTGCTTTAGGCTTTTCCCTCTCTTGGCAGTGCTCTTTTCAGGCAGCCAGGAAGCTGCATACCTCACTTCTACATCTCCTCCAGGGCTTGTCTCAGCTGTACCCTGCCCACCGTGTCTAGAATATCCCACACATATGTCCATTCATTCTTCTGAGCCCTTTCATGGCTGTTTTCCCCTTAGCTTTGATCAGCATCTGATATCTAGATCTTACTTCTCATGCCATCTGTGACCCTGCCGTAGACTGGGTGGATGTTTGTCTTGTTCACTGCTCCATTCCTAGAGCCTGGAGGGGAAGCAGCCAGGTCCAGAGGCAGCAACCAGATGTGTTTGTTCAACACATGAGTGGGCATGCCACTTTGCTGTGGCTCATCAGCCCTGGAAGCCTTGAAGTTTCTTCCTCTAACATAAGACTTATATTTAGCTGCAGGAAGCAGAAACTGGGCACAGTTCCTTGACCACCAGGGGCTATCCTCCTGGTGTCACAGACAGCTCATTTATATCCTGGCTTGTGTCTGCGACTCTGCCACCCTGAGCATGTGGACTTGGTCCTCACCTTCAGGACCTCCAGATGGCTTCTGTGCCTCCATGCAGGAAGGAGGGCAGAGGATGCTGGCTGCCATGGCCTTCGCCCAGTTGATGCCCACCTGCTGATTAGTGCTAATGAGAAGCATTGGCCACCCTAACCAGCAGAAGCCTGGGTGAGCGTACCTGTGACTAGTCACTTGGCCTCCCTGAATAAAACCATAATAAAGAAGGAGGGGATGGATACTGGGCAGGGAGCCAGGACATTCACACCCCAAGCACCAAGCCTCGGTTACCACCTCTCTGCAGTGGGTCTGAATACCCTTGAAGGAGCTGCCAGGTATTGTTGGGCCAAAAGCAGAGGCTGCTCCCCTGCAGAACCACCCGGTGGCAATTGCAGACTCAGCTGGGCTCCCACAGTTATTCCCCAGGCTGGTTAGGGGCATGAAGGTGATGTTCAGGATCTATGTTGGGTGGAGAAGACGAACTGGGCTCCAGAGCCAAAATCCAGCCCTGCCTTTGCCAGATTAGAGGCCTCAGCAGGTGACCTCACCTCTGCAACCACAGGTGCTTCAGGATCATTAGGAAGATTCAACCAGGTGAAGCCTGTTGAGGGCCCACCCAGCACTAGGCCCGTCCCAGGTGTGCTGACACCACAAAGAAGGAGGCCAGCACCTGGCCTAGTGATATTTCAAGAATGGGCTTTTGGTAGAAAATGCCTGGGAAGTTAGATCATAGGTGATCTTTATTTTTTTGTTCATTCTTTCCTTGGTTTTCTAAATTTTTTTTAAAGTTTTTTTTTTTTTTAAAGATTTTATTTATTTATTTGAGAGAGAGAGAATGAGAGACAGAGAGCATGAGAGGGAGGAGGGTCAGAGGGAGAAGCAGACTCCCTACCAAACAGGGAGCCCGATGCGGGACTCGATCCCGGGACTCCAGGATCATGACCTGAGCTGAAGGCAGTCGCTTAACCAACTGAGCCACCCAGGCGCCCTCTAAATATTTTTTAAAGATTCTATTTATCCGAGAGAGAGAGAGATATCATGAGCGGGGGGGGCGGGGGGGGAAGGTAGAGGGAGAAGCAGACTCCCTGCTGAGCAGGGAGCCCAATGAAGGACTCAATCCCAGGACCCTAGGATCATGACCTGAGCCGAAGGCAGACGTTGAACTGACTGAGCCACCCAGGAGCCTGTTTTCTAAATTTTGTTCGTTAAACATGTATTCTTTTTTTTTTTAAGGGGTGAGGAGGGCAGAGGAGGGGAGAGAGGGAATCATAAGTAGGCTCCACCCCCAGCGCAGAGCCTGACACAGGGCTCTATCTCACGACCCTGAGATCGTGACCTGAGCCGAAATCAAGAGTCTTAACCAAGCTTAACCAACTGAACCACCCAGGCGCCCCGAGCATGTATTCCTTTTATAATTAAACAACAGTAAGTACCTATCTGTGCTTCTCAGAGACACTAACCACCATTGCATACTTGCAGTTTATGCGGGAGATGGCAGGGGCCTGGCAGATGACAGTGGAGCAGAAGTTCGGCCTGTTTTCCGCGGAGATAAAGGAAGCGGACCCCCTAGCAGCATCGGAAGCCAGTCAACCCAAACCTTGTGCCCCCGAAGTGACCCCCCACTACATTTGGATTGACGTATGTGCTTCCCCAGGTCCCGCCCACTATAGCTTCGAGGTCAGGGGCTCCCCCTGGGGCCAATGGCCCAGTAAACACAGAGCCCCAGGTTTAAGACTGCCTTACCTGGGGACAGGGGCATGGCTATTCCAGCCTTCTGCCCAGGCCCTTTCCGGACTCATTGTGCTTGCCCTAAGACCCCCACCCACCCTCCTATTGGCGCAGAGCCCCACCTCACTGGCTGTGCTGGCTCTGCAGGCGGGTGGGCCAGGCCCCCCACAGAGCAGCATGTTCTCTTCCCACTCAGTTCCTGGTGCAGCGGTTCGAGATCGCCAAGTACTGCAGCTCTGACCAAGTGGAGATCTTCTCCAGCCTGCTGCAGCGCTCCATGTCCTTGAACATCGGTGGGGCCAAGGGGAGCATGAACCGGCACGTGGCAGCCATCGGGCCTCGCTTCAAGTGAGGGGCTCTCCTCTCATGGTGGTGGCAGGGATGGGGTGGGGGAGATTTCTGTCAGAGTTGCTGGTGCAGTAGGCCCTCTGCAGGGGAGGTTCCCATGCTTGGTCTTTTTTTTTTACCAGAAACTGATCAAGCCCTAGTACCTGCAGGGCCCCTGGGAAGGGGATCTGGATGGAATGATCTGGCCCGCCATGCCCTTCCAGGGCTGAGGAAGTCGGCCAGCATGCTGTCCACAGCAGGGGAGTGTTCAGAAAGATGGTTCACTCATGGACCTGGGGCAGCCAAATGTTGGGCAGCCTTTCTAAATTGGTTGGGGGTGGATGGCAGCAAAAGGATTCTGGTGTCATAGTGGTGAGTGGAAAACAGCAGGTGGTGTGGCAGAGCTCAGGTGTGACGAGCTCAGACTGGGGGGCTGGCAGTGGCTTTGGGCAGGTCCCTTTACCCCTCAGAGATGGTCACAGAAAACTTCGGATCATGCTGACTACACCAAGTCGACTTTTGCCAAGTCCTGTGCAAAATACTAACCACATCAGGGGATACCCCCTTTTGGGGGGTGTGTGGCCTAGGAGGGAGGCTCAGGCCCGGTGCTCCGGTCAGGGGTACTGTGCACACAGCAGGCGGGTCGGTCTGGCATGGGGAGGGCCTGCAGGTGCCTGGGTCGTCAGTTAGAAGGACGGTGAGGGTAAGCTACTCCTGCCTGTACCCCTTCCTGCTGCCCACTGCCAACACCAGCTCTTTCTGCCCCTCCCCTGAGTTCCAGACCCATGTTCCTGCAGCCCCCGGGCACCCCCTGGGACCATGCTTCTCAGACCACTGTGGGGAAGGGCTAGTAGTCTTTTCCCTCCATTTCTAGTCCATCACAGACGTGTACCTTTATAAAATGCATGAGAATAAATTACTGGAAAAGACTTCACGCTGGACCCCCATAGCAAGGTGCAATTGCTGTAGAAATGAGCAGGTACCCCCTCTCAGTTTCCGTACTACCTCATCACAGACCAACACCATCTGTAGATGCCCATCAAGTAGCCCTGGCCTGGCAGAAACCAGGTGCTCAGTAAATTTCCTTTTCTTTCAGCTTGAATTAAATGTTCTACCTTTGTAGCCCCTATAGGTGACTGCACTCAGAAAGTAGTTTGCAGGTAGTTTGCAGATAGACAAACTTCTGGCCAAGGCAGATAAACACACAAATTGTTCATTTACCCCAGTTAGAGTGAAGGTTTTAAAAAACAACAACAAAAAAAAACTCTTTCCTAAGACATTTCTGGTATAGGGGCGCCTGGGTGGCTCAGTTGGTTGAGCGACTGCCTTCGGCTCAGGTCATGATTCCAGGGTCCTGGGATCGAGCCCCGCATCGGGCTCCCTGCTCAGCGGGAAGCCTGCTTCTCCCTCTCCCACTCCTCCCTCTCATGCTCTCTGTCTCTCATTCTCTCTCTCGCAAATAAATAAAAACTTAAAAAAAAAAAAAAAAAACTCTTTCCTAAGACATTTCTGGTATAGGGGCGCCTGGGTGGCTCAGTCGTTAAGCGTCTGCCTTCGGCTCAGGTCATGATTCCAGGGTCCTGGGATCGAGCCCCGCATCGGGCTCCCTGCTCAGCGGGAAGCCTGCTTCTCCCTCTCCCACTCCCCCTGCCTGTGTTCCCTCTCTCGCTATGTCTCTCTCTGTCAAATAAATAAAAAAAATCTTTAAAAAAAAAAAGACATTTCTGGTACAATAAACCACGGTCCTGTCCTCCAAGAGCTCTGTCATCCAGAGACGTGCCCTGAGCCCAAGGGCCGCGTGGTTTGCACAGGAGCTAGGGACTCCTCGGGCATTCCTGGGCAGCGCGCTCTGACTTGGCCCTGGCGTTCTCTCGCAGACTGCTGACTCTGGGGCTGGCCCTCCTGCACGCCGACGTGGTCCCAAATGCAACCATTCGCAACGTGCTTCGAGAGAAGATCTACTCCACCGCCTTTGACTACTTCAGGTACCCCCGAGCTGTGCTGCGCGCAGGTGTCCCACACCCCAGAAGCCCTGGCACAAAATGGCATGGCCTGATTTATGTGCTGCCCTCCTTGTTCAGTAGCTCTGGTGGCCCTGGGTTCGAAAATCCTCAGCCCTGTGCCATCTTTCCACATGTGTGCTTAGTTAGAGCTAGCCTCCCTACGCAACGTATGCAAGTTTTCCCCCAGTTCAGTTGACTGAAGAGATTAACTGCATCCATTTAACTTTCCAGTTCCTCTGAATGGTCATTGCATGAAGAATTGCTTTGCTAGCGCGCAGGTTGTGTTGTATAGAGACAGCTGTGGCTGCGCAATGGGCCACAAGCACGCCATTCGGCCGAGCGCTGTCCACGGCACTGGGAATAGTGGTGGAGGTGGCCATGGGAGGACTCAGAAAATCATCCCACTTTTTTCCATGAGAATGAATGAGATCGTTGCTGATGACTAGCTCTGGGCTCACCTTTTGTCATTCAGAGACCACTCATGTCTGCTCTCACATGCTTTTATAATATGCATGACTTCTAGTCCCAGAGTCCAGGCACTAAACTCTTGTCCTCTTGTGGTTGTTTGAAGTTGCCCCCCAAAGTTCCCTACTCAAGGAGAAAAGAGGCTGCGTGAAGACATAAGCATAATGATTAAGTTTTGGACAGCCATGTTCTCAGACAAGAAGTACCTGACTGCCAGCCAGCTTGTTCCCCCAGGTAAGCCTTGTCCTCAGCTGGGCAGCTGCTCCTGGGTGGTGGGGCCGAGGCATGGAGGCAGGCAAGACATTGGGCGCAGTGGGCAGCCCTGCAGGAGCCAGGTCAGAACAGTGAGGGTCCCGCCGAGCCTGCTGCACGGTCACCAGAGACCCAAAGCCTGTCCGGCCACCCCTGGTCCTCCAGCCTCAGCTGACAAGCATGACTGAGTGCAGAGGGCCCTGAGCAGAGGCCACATGGCATAACTTCTCCCAGCACTAGCCCAGTTCACCAGTCCCGACTGCATATCTGACAGCCCATCCTGGGCCCGTGTGCCAAGATGAATAAAGCACTGTCTGCTGTCACCTGGTAGGTGATGTCAACATGAGGAGATCAGGGCAGCACCCCTCAAGGACAGGCCCTTGGCCCACCGGAGTTAGGGAGCCAGAGAGAGTTTTCTGGAAGAGGTGACATGTGAGCTGAGTCTCCAGGGACGCATAGGAGCAAGCCAGGGTGGACAGGGTTAAGGAAAAGGCGCTACAATGTAAGCAAGCAGCAAACCACAAAGAAACACGTTCCTATTTCTCTGAGCAGGAAGCTGATTCCCCAGCACAAAGTAGGGATGAGGAGCGCAGTTTCTGCAGGCAGACCCCCAGCCGACAACCTGACTGCAGGGAAAGGAAAGGCAAACTAAAAAGCAAGCGCAGAGATTTTCTGAGGCGGCGTCCTGGCTTCACGGAGAGCAGGGCCAGCAGCACTTCTCGCCTGCCCGCACGGCCCGACTCACTGCTCTGTTGAAGGGCAGCGTGATGCTGGCCGAGAGAGCTGTTGGTAATTGATCAGGATCGCCACCCACATTTGTTTTCTTCTATTTTAAAAGCTAGGAGAGGTGCGCCTGGGTGGCTCAGTTGGTTAAGCGTTAGACTCTTGATTTCAGCTGGGGTCACGATCTCAGGGCCGTGGGATCGAGCCCCGTGCCGGGCTCTGCGCTCAACGGGGATTCTGCTTGAGATTCTTCCTCTCTCTGCCCCTCCCCCACACTGGCATGCACGCACTCTCTCTCAAATAAATAAATAAAATCTTTTTTTTTTTTAA